GAAATAAACATTTGAAATATATGAGTTTGTATGTAATGTATGAATATAATATACAAGTTTCACTTTTTAAATGGAATTACTGAAATAAATCTACTTTTTCATGATATTCTAATTTTATGACCAGCACCTGTATATATGAATGATTTGTCCATTCAGTGGTTTATTAAATATTTTGTTAACATGACAAACTAACACACGCAGACACGAGCACAAACATTATTGCAGTTTTGAATTTGGCTATGAGCAATAAAACTATATGTTTCTGATATTTATCAGCTCATGGTCTAAAGTAACCACCAGTACTATACCGCAAACCTTTTACGTGATCATTTATTTTTACATTACATATTTTAAGCCTTATCTCACTTTTTTCTTTGCTCATTGTTTCTTAATCACAGAGAAATGAAGCCATGTTTTTGTCTCTCCATGTCTTCCTCTGACGACTCAAACGAATCCCCAGTTTTGTGTTTCTTTTAAATTTTTGCAAGCCCAAGCACATCTTCCAAGTTGCACTTTGGAGATAAAATCTTGCTGAAACTCCAATTTATAAACCTTCCCCTTGAGGAATGTGAACACATAATTCATATATGTCAAGCTAAATTAATCCCTGCTCGCTTTCTTCTCATGTGTCCATCTCCTCTCTCTCTCTCTCTCTTACACGCGCTGATATAAAACACACCGCGAGGAGCTTTTAGTGGGTGCTGCACACTGAAGACGTACAGCAGAGGTGAGGGAAATTTACTGATTCTGCCAAGGCAGAGCTGCAGTGGAGGAACATGTGGCTACGTGACCTCTGGGCCTCCTCACAGGAGCATCAGTCTCTTATATGACAGCATGAGATGAACAGCGAGTACATCTTAGCCGAGGGGGAGAATAGCATTTCTCTGCCTCTTTATGTGACATAGTGCCTTGGTATTTATGAGGGTGGAGGGAGCACTCTGTGGGATGGCGAGAAATAGTTTCATGATGGATTGGAAATCAATTTACAATAGAGAGGACCAGGTGTCTGGAGAAAAAAAAATCAGATAAAAGTGATAGTTCAGACCTTTGAAGTGGGGTTTTATGGAAATGCAATGAACGTTTTTAATCTTACCTGTTGTAGATAGCTCTAATGATGATGTCCTTTTAGAATAATGGAGTTTAATTCTGACTGTGTTGATAAACTAACCCCTAATTTACACTACATGCGTTCCGGCTCCGCTCCGGTCTGACCTCTGCAGCAAATATGCACCCATTATAATCAATGAGAGTATTTACACTGGCTCCGCATGGCAGCGGTGAGCAGACGGCGATCCGGCAAAATTAGATCCGATCCTATTTCTGCCGGACGCCGCAGCTTTTTTTTTTCTTTTTCTTTTTGCCAGATGCCGGAGGAATCAATTTTTAAAGATTATGTCACACCAACAGGAAGAGGAATGAGCACAACATCCATATTTTCAAAATAATATCTTATTAGGTGGAATG